AAGAGAGAGAGAGAGAGAGAGAGAGAGAGAGAGAGAGAGAGAGAAAGAGTGTGTGTGAGAGAGAGAGAGAGAGACTGTGTCATTATGTCTAACTGGGACATATTATATATATAATTGTTTCAAATATTCAGATATTTTATTTCACATAATATATTCATCACATAATAGATAATAAGAGATGCAGACCGCTCTTTATGAGAATATCACTGTCTATGGAGGTCAGTTAATGTACGCTGATTCTGAGTTCTAGAACTGGACTAGAACTGGGGTCTATAGCACAACCCTCACTGACTACTGCCAGCAAGCAAGTAGATGATGCTGGCTGTCAAATCTCACAAGTTGCCCATGAGCAATGCGTGGACTACAAGTCTTATCATAGCACAGCAGCAGCTCAGCAAACTTTGTGTGGCACTGCAAGCCCCAGCCTCCCCTGACCTTGATGACTGAAGCCCACATACAATGGGACTACAAGTTTCAGCGTGCCTCAGAACATGTAGCAAAGACCTCCTGATTATCCCCCCCCCCCCCCACAGCATGGAGCGTACACCTTCTAATAATCGTAACACAAGAGCCCATTTGCTATTTATTAGCCGCGATTTTAATTAAGAATTATAAATGTCTATAATAAGTCGCAGCACCTCCGTGTAATTGCTACATAAACAGCTTGTTACCGCAGCAGTGGGTCCAATCTTCAGACACTTCTAGCAGGGGAACCTTTGTAGGAACACGAGCTCCCTGGACCTGATGGCACACACACCACCCGATCACAGAAAACCGACTAGTCGCAATGCTCTCCCTGCCACACCGAATGTAAGATCCGGCTTATAGAGCAAAGATGAAGCTGCCCTTCCATGTCACTAGATCATCCAATTCAAATGTACAATTACTAAGCTCTCAGGGTACCGAACACAAATTGCAATATGTTTGCTCCAACCTTGTATCAATACACAGCCACACTTTAGTAACAGAGATCAGAGACGCTCAAACTATGTGAAGAGACAAAATGATATTTACAAGAGCAAAACGATCATTGAAAAAAAGAAAAGTTTGCCTCACTTCAAGTTGCTGCAGTTTAATGAGGAAGGATCTGTTAGGTCTGTGATTTGATGACTTCAAATAGTTTATTGAATTTCCTTTTCTCATTGCAATCCTTACTTGTTGTGAATGTCAAATCCTGCGTTTCATAGAATAAAAGTCACCATGGGACGAAGAGCATTGTCTGTCATTTTGAAACTGAGCATGTCAATAAATAGGCTTATTTACTAAGGCAGCGCCTGCAAAGTGCATTCACCTCTAACAAGCAGAATTTATGCCTTTAATGTTGACGTTCTAAGAAAAAAATAATAACAGAAAATGTGATGACTTAACACGATGACGATTAGCCGATGGCCACAGACGCTTATTGTAGCTGTGCAGATTACTAGTAGATAGGGGCTGAGTCTGGGAGCTTGGACTGAGTCCCAGACGCTAAAGCAGTCTATGGAAGCCCAATTTGAATACCAAATGAAAAGCGCTCACATTCCTGCAGCCTGATTAGCAGCTTCCTAATTACACACTACATGCATTGCCTCCACTGGTCTTTCCCCTCTACCAGCCCTATCTGCATATTATTCCTTCTTCCCCCTATTCCATTTTTTGCGTGCTCCAAAAATACACGTTTGATGCATATTTGTAAATTCATTCTTGACATTTTGCTAGTGTTTCAAGTGTCTCCACTCCTAAATAAACACAACCCAAAACAAAGCTGAAATGTACCGAACACAATAAATAATGGTTTGTAAATACTGAACATTGTGGAACTATTTGTCTGTATTGGTTTTATTTTACTAAAAACAATAAAAATGATTGTAATGCAATATAAACAGATTATCTGAGTCTTCTGTGTAAAAACAACTTTATTACTGAGCCAGGTGGACAAAAGGAACGTTGATTGAAAGGTGTTACAACATTTTGTGTGGACAATTTATATACATATCATACATTTGGAAAATATAAAATCTGCATTGGTGTGTACAGATTGGGGAGCATAGTGAGCACCAAAATAAACTGCTGCATTGTCATTTTATATAACAATACTCCATACCTGGCCTTACATAAAACAATGGGCAACACTTATTTCATAGCCACCAATCATTATTATCCATTATTCAATCAGTAATAAACTTGCATTGCTCTGACTGCACTAAACTGATGCAAATAAATACAGGTGACAGCACTTTTTTTTTTTAAATCACAGTTGCTCTTATTAAACAAGCCTTGTATAAATGCACAGAGATTTTCCTTAGCCTTCTTCTGGTACTTTGGTCAGGATTTCAGCGCCTACAGATGTAATTACGATGGTATGCTCAAACTGGGCTGATCTGGAATACACATTTGTCAGATAATAAAGAATAGCTCTAAAATAACACATCTTTTTTTAAAAGAAATGCACACAGGTAAGTTATCAGGCAGAAGCTAAATAGATAACAGACATTGAGCACCTTTTATTGTCCAGTGACAGTGCTGTCCATTTGTCCTTGAGGATCTTAAATTCAGGAGATCCTTCTACTATAATGGGTTCTAGAAGAAAGAAGCAAAGGAATTATGATTTACAGAAACATATGGTGATCTATATTTGCATTTGGTGGTAACTGCAATGCTCAATGGGGGTGGGAGGCATGGGGAGTTAAACTAATTTGCTTGTTTAACTAATTCAGTAAATATATAATATAAACACATTCCTTTCTGCAGATGTGACTCAAAGGGATGGAAATTATAACCAGGCAAGAGAGATTAACACTATATTAATCAACATTGAGCAGGGGGATATTTCTACATCTTAAATAAAAAAAAAAGAAAAAGAAATGACCCTGACAACCTGAAATAGCGGATATTTGAAACAGAAAAATAAAATTCAAGACAGGAAAAGAAATTGTGGATGTAGTTATAGGAAATCTGAAGATATTGCAAGATAATGCATTGCTATAAAGTGACATGTTTACATATTTAGATGCTTGAGAACAAAATGTGTTTCATAGCATCTGGCCCTGCAAAAACATTATTTGCACATCCACTGCAAACCAGTGCTGTTGTCATAAAAACTATTTCTTTTAATTGGAAAGATGAAAAAAAAGGAATAATTTATAATGGGGAGATGCATAGCTGGCCCTGGAGCATAAAGAAATAATTTGCATGGCTTTGCCTACTGTCCTTAAATGAAGTATTCAAATGTGATTTAAAGGGGAAATCGTTTTGGACTCCTTGGCTATAATGACTCATAATTCAAATCTAATCAAAATTATAACATTTTGCAAGATTAGTTTAAAATGGTAAAAGATGTGTCATTAGGCTTAATATATAAATTGCAATGTGTGTCATATGCTTGTTAATGCATCATATCCAAAAGATCTGTTACAAAAAAGAATGGAGCACACATTATAGAAAAATGCAAAAGCTGTGGCCTCAAGCAACCAATCATGTTTTTTCTTTCGTTTGCTGAGAAAATAAAACAAACCCCCAATACAAGATTGAATTTGCATACTAATAAATATTATAAACATACAATTTTTTTTATATATGTGGGCGGATGCATGCAAATTAATAATTGGTTTCCCTAAATTCGGCAAAACCATGTCAAAAAGTTATATATATATATATTTCAGCTGCTGGTGCATGCTGGAACTTGCAGTTACACAACCTCAGAAGCTTTGCAGGTTGTCTATATTTAGCAAAGAAGTGAAAGATGTGGCACAGATGTGAGCAGCAACACAGAACCCAGCAAGCCAGGCCCAGCTGTTAGCGCAGACAGGACAGCAGAAGAGGTCAGCAGGGATCAAGGTTCAATTTACAGACTGGTGATTGCCCTCTTTTTCTAAATGTTTACAGCTGTGCCATCTTCACAAGCTGGGTGTTTGATGACATACCTGTTGCAAAAATGGAATTCAAGTGTACAGGGTAGTGATTCATCCACAGACAGGGAGCAATATTGTTTTAGATTAGCCAAACAATCAATGTTAGGCTTCAGCTAAAACTGAAACAGTCCTTATATGCAGGTGGACTCAGTAGAGCTAAACCGTGAGTGAGGGAGGCAGCCTGGAGCTTTCTAGCAGTCTTGGAACTACACTTCCTAGCATGCCGTGCCTCTATGGGACTGGCGGGTAGGTTGGGTTCACACTTAGGGGTTGATTTATTAAAGCAATAGAGTGTTTACTTTGTAATGTAAATGTTCCATTAGCTTTGTAAACTAGGCGTAGATGTGCTAACCAAGTATCCAATGTGGATACTTTCTTACAAGTGATTGGATGATTGACAGTTTCTACTCCTGTAGTAAATCCATCCCTTTGAGGTGTACAAATGCATGCACTTTTATTCTTTTTTAATCCAGGTTATGGCATGTGTTTTCATTGCGTGTTAGTCTTATTGCTATGTTTCCATGTATGCATTTTGCATGTTCTTGCACAATTTCTGTCAGGAAGTTATATGGTATAAACACACTCTCATTAATTTCCACAGGCTCAAACAACACACTGGCACAGTGGAATTCATGGAGCATGTGTTTTCCATAAGGAATTGCACTGCAGTACAGATATGCATGCAGGCCTGATCGATATGCATGACATTTACATGTTTGTGGAGTTAGCTGACTGTATTATACCACTGGGAAGTGCTTAGATATTAAAGAGAAACTTTACCTGTATCTTTAAATTAGCAACAAAGACACCTTTAGAAATGTTTAGTAATGACAATCTACAAACACATCCTTCTAGATAATTGCCGGCTTTGTATTCTTTAGATACCTTGTTTCTCTTTTCCTCCCCAGTCTTCTCACAGTAGCCATTTTTACAAATGGAAGATTTTTATATCTTTCTTTACCTCCTGGAACTCTGACACATGTGACTAGGACATGTGACCATGCACATCATCATCACTGGAGAGGAAAATGCCTTTCCCTGAGGTCTCATGAGATTACAGATGAGATTTCCCTGCAATGCTCTGCTGATGTAATCTTCCCAGGATGCAACGCTTGGGCACATTACATCATTTGTGCTCAAGCTGACCAGGCAGTGGATGAACTCTATTTGTAAGTAAATTAAAAACACGTTTAACCAATGAATGTAAGATGATTTTATATCAGCATGCAGAGCTCTTGTTCTATTATACAAAGACATGCATAGACTCCACTTCTACAATATACTGTCATGCAGTGTTATTTTTCATTTAGCTACAACACTGGGCCTGACTGCAATTGGTAGAATGTACAATGGAATAACCTATCTCAATAAATAGAGAACACAAGCAGGTAAAATCTTTGAAATCCTTGAGATACATTTATCTGAATTGAGGAAATTTGTTGTTTACATTTTCTTCACCAAGACTATATTTAGGATACCCTTCCTGGACTACTAGTCATTCAGCCAAGTTATATTTGGATGTACAGGTTGATTAAACAGTAAAGTCCTTAGTGCCACAAGGGAGCCAACTCTACGTGCCTTAAAACCAAAAGAACTGGAGCTTTCAGATCTCGCCCAGTCCAGACATATGTAGCAAACATCCAAAATAATGAGTCTGCATAGTTGTCTTGCTCAACCATAAAACGTTAGCACAGGCAAACAGACAGCAACAGAGGAACCTTGATGCATTTCGTACAAAGTGCCTCTTCGTAAGGACCGGACAAATAAGCACTTTATGTAAAATGCGTCAAGGCTCCTCTGTTGCTGTCTGTTTGCCTGTGCTTACTTTTTGCAGTTGAGCAAGAGAACTATGCAGATTTTTTTATTTTGGATATTTGCTTTATAGATTGGTTTAAGATAAGGCTAGCACTAGGGGTGGCTGCGTCCTGTCCTCTGTTCCATAAAGTGCATGTTTGGTCTTTACAAGTATGCATATTTATTCAATTATTGTTATTGATAATGATTATTTAACAGTGTGTTGTCATATCTGACAACATCTCATGTCTATAGTTTGCTTTTGGCTGGTGAATCTCACACCAATGTGCCCACCATTGCTTAGCCACCAAAATTTTTCTCCTGGACTTTCCTGGCGTTTGGAGGCAATACACATATCCCTTTGCAAAGGGAATCGTTCTAGCTAACAGGTGAAATCACTCCGTGAACCACTAATTTTATTCTGCAAACATTGCAATTGTGATAAAAACAGAAAGTTTACTCAGTTTGCCTTAATCTGTGTAACTCACTAAAACCAAAATCCAGAACACATTTGTCCCATCATTTTTAGATTGGACTTTCTCTATATGAGAGACAGTATGTAACCTGTAGTAGGTGTGGTTGGGTTCATCTCTCCTGCATCACAAATAGGGTTTCCCAAATAACCAGATTACAGTTTTAGTGCTCACAAAGGCACCCACGTGTGATTGTCACTAGAGAAATCTGATAGACTACGCGGTAACATTGGTCATTTGTTGGCTCTCTGTAGCTGGCAACACATAGAGCTATTCTGTATATTGCTTGTTATAGTCGTACTATGTGCAGCAGATTGCATGATCAACGTTAGTGAGATGGTCAAACTACAAAGTTTTCCAGTTTGAATATCTCTGCAGTGAATATTTGGTGGATCTTGTTTCCTGTTGGATGAAGGCACTTGTCCTGGACGCTCCGGGTGGAGTACATTTATCTTGAGGACAGCCAATTTGGCACCACCAGATTAATGAATTGTCAACCTAATGTGAATAAAATAAGCCTTTGTCTAACTGCTTGTACTGTGCAATCCCTTTCCAAGGTTATTTATGCATTGCAATGATCATACTAATACTTGAAATCTTCCATGAAACATAACCTGCAAATAAACAATTCTGTATTTAAAAGGAAGCAATTTTTATTGCTTTTTCCATATGCTATTTAAGTTTTGTTTTTTTAAACAAATAAACTTTTAATATAGCGTACACCCATGGCACTGGTTGTACACAGAATTGTTTTTAAAGAGGAAGCACAGAAGTAGTTTTTACTTTTCATACTGTCTCTCTGTAATCGAAAAACTGTACAGAGCTGTATAAAGCAGTGAAAAAGTTGAGCAAGGGGTGAAAGTCTCTCTATTGACTTATTTAGCTGTGTGCATCATCTGAGCTTCAGATATAGTGAAGCTATGTAAACATTTTAAAAAGAAGCCCTACCGGATGGATGGAAATTGTAAGTATAAAACATTAGTATGCCATATTTTATATTAAGCTGACAAAATAAAAATTTTAAAACTTGTTTTTTTAAAACCTTTCTTTTTTAAAAGCAACCTGTATTTTTAAAAGCAAGTATACAAAACATACATTAAGATGCCTCATCAGAAATGTAAAATCACAGTCTCATCATAGATAAGTGTTACCTTTTACATGACCTATTTTTAGAAACATGTGCAACAGAATTGTACTGACCTATGGTAAATGCCATCCCTTCTTCCATTTCCATATGATTAACATTTGCTAGGGGAAAAAAAAAAGAAGATATTTGACTACATTACAACAGCCTCGGGGAATAGAGTTCTCTTTCAAGATGGGTCTAAGAGATTAAATCTCCAGGAAAAATGTTATTACTTCTTACAATATTACATTTCATTCAACTAAAGCAGAAGTGTGTCAGTATAAATCAAACTCTACCTGGAATGACACTCAAACTTTTACATATGAAACAATGTACATTTATTAGCATGTATGATCGTAAACAGATCCTGGAAATGTTGATAAATAGATGTATGTGATGGAGAAGTCAGTATTTTCCATACAATGCACTCGTCTCTTTCTGAAGGAAACTTGTCATTAGAGAAATATGTAGACTGCCATTGCTGCTTGTCTGGCTGTCATGCTAATCCTCTAACGTAAAGACAAAGGAACGGGGTAATTTGAAGGTAGCTACAAAATGATTGGAATTGTAACCCCGCAGCTAATAAAGGATCCAGCATGGGTGGGAACCCTGACCAGAAGTCACATCCCATCCTGATGACATGGGTGCCTTTCTTTGCTTCCCATCTGCTCCATGTGGCTGTAGGGAGTGAATTGAAACACCCGAAACCTTTAGGTGTATGTGAATATGTGACTCACCACCCCACAGCGCTGTCACAATGGATGGGGAAAGGAGTCCATAGCCTTGTGTAAGCTCCGGGAAGTCAGTGGAGCTTACGCAGGGCTTTGTTCCTCATCTGGCAGCTGAATAAAGAGTTGGAGGAGCCAAAGCCAAAAGGATCATTTTAAATACTCTGTGAACCACAGACCTGGAACAAATAAGCAGATTAGAAGTTCTGGCTTGACTTTCTGCACAGTTTTTCTGAGGTCAGGTGATCAGTACTGAGCTGAGGTGAACAAGCAGCATTTTCAAAAAGGCTACATATTTCTCTTATGACAGATTATCTTTGGAAAAGTGTTGATAAGTTTTACAATTTCAGTAATAAATATGTAAGTAAAAAGCTATTAACCAATGTCTATGTTTTCTATATGCAAGAAGGAAAATATGGTCCAGTTTGCCGAAAGGTACAGTTAGACAATAGTCAACCTAAATGTTGCTTCCCCATTCCCTGCATACTTTTTCTAACGAATCACTTTCTAATGACCCTTTTGAATGAATTTCTATGCAGTCACATGACCACAAAGTTCTGGCTCATTCCTTTTTTTTCTGCGGCTGGTGGCACGAACTCTCTCACAACTGACAAGACATTGGAGCTTTGGATGCTGGCAGATTGACATCACTGCTCTATGGGTTTCAGCATTGTCAGCCCTCCACAGCCAAAGCTGGAGTTTCGAGTCTATGTGACAGCATAGAAAAAAGATATTCAGAAAGTGATTTATAAAAAAATGCATGCTGGGAGGATCAGAACACCGGGGAAGCAACATTTAACACATTTTTATTATGTAGCCAGGCCCGTATTCCCCACAAGGCCACCGAGGCCCGGCTTTGGGGCGGCAGGGCGCAGAGGGACGGCAGCGGTGTCCTTGTAAGGAAGTTGCGGGCGCCGGGCGGTAAGTTGCCCTCTCTACATTTAGTCCTGCTTTGTACAAGCAGGACTAAATGTAGAGTGAGGCAGCCGATTGTTCGTTTACATGTCGATGTCGCCGAGATCACATTTAAAAAGTCTGCAGCCTGTCCTCCTCCCCTCCCCCCTGCACTTACCTCTCTCCGCTGGTTCCGTCCTCCGGTGCCGAGTCTCTCCTCACTGCAGTGAGTAGAGCGGCAGGGTTAAAACTATCCCTGCCGCTCCGTGTAGACAGTGAAAGGGGAGAGCTGTACTGTGCTAGAACTCCTGTATTGGAGGTGACAGGGTCAATAAAGAGAACCTGCCACCTCTAATTGCTATCACACAGCGGATTGTTTTCTCCTGTGTGATAGCAATAAAGTTAGGTGGAAAAATAAAATAAATTAAATTAAATAATTAAATAAAAAAATTATAAAAAAGTAAATAAGATAAATAAAAATCTAAAAAAAATAAATTGATAAAAAAATAACTAATAAATAAAAAAATAAGAAGAAATAAATAAAAAGTGATAAAAAAGTTTTTAAAAAAATAAAGAAAAACAGTAAAAAAAAAATTGAAACAAACCCCGCCGCCCTGCCATCTAGTTGCCATTCTCCATTGATGGGAAGGGTGGGGGCATTTTGTGGAACCTGACCCTGGGGCGGCAGGGAGAGTTTTTGACTGCAGTTCCTCATGAAGGGTCGCTCTGTTTTCTTATTGGCCAATTTAACTGGCTCTTCATAGGTTCAAAAAGGAATCACTCCAGAATCTTCATTGTTGCAAGGATGTTTGAGTGCCATGTAGCACAATTTGGAGAAGATCATTGACTAAACAATAATAGAGGGACCTTCATACATTTCCTGGAGATTATTCTGCTTCAGGCTCCCTCCTGGGGCAGTCATTAGACCAAAAGCCTAGGCATTTGATCATAATTAGGAATAGGAACCGAACCCAAACTCATCCAAACCTGGAAGGAAGCTGTCAGTGCCAATCCAATGAGCTGCGACCAAGGCATTCCCTAGGTTAAAGGAAAGCTTCCAGCAAGGTAAAAGTATACATTTGTGTTATTTACCTAACTGCAGAGAGGAGAAGAAGAGGAAGCCAAGAAGAGTCAAATGGCCAGTTTAGCCAAAAGTGATATTTCAGTTGCCGGTGGGTACGAATACAATGATTTACTAGATGTCTTCTTATATCTCATGGGGAGTTCTCCATTAAGATCTCTTCACTATTTACTTATAAAGAGGGAGCCAGATGCCATGTGTGTTGGGGGTAAGAGCCAAGAACTTCACTAGACTTTCTGAGAGATGAAAAGCGGCAGTGAATGACTGGGCCTACCTGTGAAATATTGGGTAGACAGAGAAAGAGCAAAATAACTGGGAAAAAAGGGCTAAATAATCATTTACTGCCTAGGATACAGCGACTGTGGTTACTTATTTACTTGCTGTCATCATATGCTCTGATTCCTGTGTCTTTCAGAAAGCACTGCTGTCCTACAGGTCAAGCATGGACAACCTATGGTCGGTCAGGTCTCTAGGTGACATATGTCCTCACTGTGCTGATGGCTGACAGAATATTCTGACATTTCCAGTACTCTGAGGTTGCCTATTTCAGCTCCAGCTGTCAACTGTAGGTCACATCACATCTTCAAGTGCACTCCCAGGATTGAAAGTGCAAAAATAAAAAGTCCAGTTTTTGTTGAGAAAAACAAATCCTCTCCAGATTAACTATATTTTAAAAATGATGTTATTGACCTTTATTGTAGATCATTATCCGTTTCTGTAGATATCTGTGTGCCAGTGCTCCTGATGGAAGTGGAGAATACTGTATATTTGGTTTAATGACATGATTAATTCCAGCACATAAATCAAAGCCGTTAAATTTATAACTTGGCTTGTATATCAACTATATTATTATGTTTTTTAATAGTACTGGAGATTTTTCTTGAATTCTGTCCAATTATTTGAACTCTATATGTATCCCTCTATAAGTGCATTACATTTTGAATCTAACTTAGGTTTTAAGGCTATTAGTCTGGCAGGCAATTAATCATGTTAATAATTCTTATATGCCGTTTCATCATTGTATTCACTGACTGATGTTTACCCCCTAATTACAAAGTTTAAAAAAAATCTTAACGCCTGCACCCAGTTTTAGGAGATGCCAAACATACATACACTTTAAATGTATTATTTTACTGTTCATGATGTTTTCTGTTTATTTTATTGTCCATTTAACATGGTTGCAATCTAATTCATGAACAAGCTGCATCATGAGTGTGTTGAAAAGCCATGTTATGGAATTCAGTAATACACTGCTCCTACCACACAAAGCAGGAATAGTGTCCATTCTTTGCTATGTACCGGGTCCAATGAGCTCATGCTTGGAAAATGCTGAAAACTTCAGCTGCACTACAAAAAAATGTCAACACTGGCCAGAACATTCATTTGGTTGAGAAGTCAGGTTTTTGTGAATATTGAGGGCAATAGGACACAAACAATTTGTAATCAACCCAGTTTCATAGGGGAACCTCACAGGTTTATAATTGTGTCTAAACTTACAATACTGCTGAAGTGCAAGCACCAAGTGACTTTAATAATTATTGAATTGATTTCTCTGCACCCTGCTTGTGTGAGGACTTAGCGCCGAGCCAGAGAGAAGCTTAAAATGATATTAAAGTCAAAAGACTTTTAAGCTATTTCAAATGCTGATTCAATTACTTACAATGTATGCTGCTACTTGATGTTATAGGTTTCCTGCAGAATCAGCTGGTCGCCTGAGCTCTGCCCCTTATATCTTTTAACTTGCTGGGTCCTATGACGCAAACCCTTGTGCATGTTAGTAAGCTGTGTGTGTCCCTTCAGCACAGCAAGGCAAGCCACAGCTGCCGGAGAATGCTCTGTTCCTTTGGATCTTGTACTGGACAGGAAGTTCAGGGAAGCAAGTGTAAAGAAATACTTTGCTGGACAATGTATATTTCTTGATTTGGATTCATTATTAAAAACATTTTTTTGAATGTTTAATACTACTTTAAAGCAAAGCTCCAGGCAAATCATATCTTATCCCTTGTAGTGGGGCTACTCCCCACTGCAAATAGCTAAATACACAACATAAAATATACTGAACCTGATCTACCTGCCAAAGGATTTGTATTTCTGCCCATCCACTTCCAAGATTTACACAACCCATGGCACACAATTTAGCAGGGCAGGAGACCTGATTTTGCTCTCTTGCAGTCAACTAACACCTACAGGTCTCGCTTCTCACCCCCCAAACTGTGACAGGACAGTGAAAAGAGAAGTAGCAGAGTGATGATCTTATCTCGCTGTGTTCTCTCCTCCTATTGGCATACTGCGTGTTAACACACGTGCACAGCAGCACAACTAATGGACTCTTGTGCTGCTTCCCTCTATCCCAGTCTGAACTCTGTTGTACAGAGACTGCAAACAGCCAATAGCACATCAAATTCAGGTACTTACACTG